GTATTTTGCCAGGTCTTCCAACCAGGACCCGTGCTGCATGGAAGAAGACAGAGAAATAAAGCGGCGCCCTAAGCCTAATAAAATAAACATTTTCTCCATTTAAAAACGACCGAGACTATGTAGACCACAGATTAGCGGTTACATAATGTAGTTCTTCATGTATGAACGTATTCAGTAGGAAGGGCTGAATTGCGCACTGCCACAGTAAGTAATGTACAGACTTAATAGGCGCGCAGATCGTATTTCAGCATATGTCGCTGATCTATTTTTCTTTTTCCGCTTAAAATAAATGGCATCTTCCAGATCAGCAGCACTAATATGATTCGTCATCAAGTTTTCATTTTGGAACCTCACTTTTCCGCCGAATTTATCGAAACTAAAGTAAATGGAAGACCTGAGTCAATGAACACCATAAGCAACCTGCTAGGCTCTCTGACTAAGCCCAATAACGTGACAGGGATCATTTTTCATCCCAATTCCAATCAATATTGTGAAGCTAGGCTTCTTTGTGTCATGCTGAATTCTTAAGTAAATAAATGAGAGATTTATTCTCGACAGTGCGAGACGCACCTTCAAAGATACGATCATGGTAATACAAACGGGTATCATCAGTAATGGCACAGAATTGTTACGATTTAACCAGTACCTACTGAATATATGTCTATGTATGTGGGTGCATTTGTAAGTTGCCGTGGTGTGTGTTTGTTAGTGTTACTGCGAATTTGTGAGTTTGTTCCGTGAATGCACCAATATAGGAAAGAATCACATGACATTTTGCTACAGGTTGACGTTCGCGAAATGTGTAAGACTCTCCAATATATCAAGGCAGTGACTTCATTAATTAGCGAGTCATATCCGCCACGTCACAGTGTTGTTAAGCCGACATTTGTGGCTTGTAATAGGAAGAAGTATTGCCAGGCAAAACCCACCGCGTCCTTGAACACTGCTGCCGAACTATTGACTGGACCGGGACTAAGCCGAACCACCCGGCAGGCACTACGTGGAGGTTGTTCGGACAGCCAGCCAAAGCAATAGCCTGCAGTTTCAGCCTTTTGGGCATAATCATCAGTGTGCATTCATCGGATCGATCAGGATTCGAACCCATGACCACCAGCTGCTTGAACCGCCAGTCAGCAGCTTTTGCCACTGGGCCACTGCGGACTTGATTTCGACAGCTCGTTTCTTTGGGTGCACATCTTTCCTGGTGCTCTGTACAGCGAGCGGAGCAATTACTAGAAGAGTACTACACGCATACCGAAGCTAGAACTGTTTTCGGACAACAAACCATCGGTACTAGGTCTCGTAGTTACAAATGGAAAACTACTGATCAACTGACCATTAATAGACATCCCACTAAGGCTAAGCGATTATGTTAACATCTATTGTAACTACCTCTGCTAGACTGAATACCCGGAAGAACAAATTGCACCCACACGCACTACTAAACTGTAACACATGCTGACAGATCTGGTCGCGATGCTAGGTTGGGACTACTTGACACGCGGGTTTTCTGCTTGTTACGGCAACTGTTGATGAGCTAGTCGCCTGCTACGATTAATTTGACCAGGATATACTCTTCCGATGTTATGGATATGTGTGTCCAGTCACAGTGGATAGATGGATCGGAGGAAGTGCTTAGAGCCCGCTTTACATTAGTGAGCCACGTATGAATAAACACCTTTCAGGAGGTTGGTGAATCGTAAATTGAATAGCCTAAATGCAGAGACCTATGAAAGTAGGCTTGATTTAATTCCTACATATTCATCAGTATATTGTATAACTTAAGATTTTCGTCGAAACGTTAATGATCTATACCATGTTAAATGCAACACGCATAATGCTAATAGCTAAGCTTGTTAAAAAAAATCAGACTAACGTGTTATGCATTCAAATACACGCGGGCATCAATTATTTCTCTCCCTGAGGGGTTACATGCACGCACCATCAGTGACACTCTCATTGGTCATGGGACTCCCTGGATGTAAGCACAGGGCTAGATGGATGCGTCTATGGGGGACAGGCATGCTCCCGATTAGGTTGACACATTGGTGTTAACGGAAGGCGGACAGGGATGAGTGTCAATGCTAGAGATCACCAACAGTACGCCTGACAGTAAGTTGTCAATGTAGTAAGAAGTGTTTTAACATTCCCCCTCAGCACACCTTTAACAGCTCCTTCATTCGGAAAATGTTACCATTGGTACGTACTCTGACCCGGCCGTTAGCCGGGTCTCTGTGCCGAATTTCCAGCGCTTGTCCGAGCAGTCCGTAAGGTATCAAGTGCACAATATGTGATCGGTACAAGATGCACAGTATCGGTAGCACATTTAGGCTCCAGGTTAGCATTGCCTCTGGTTGGAACAACATACCGCATGAACGTACTAATTTTAGTAATAATAATGGGCATATTTATCCGCAAGTGAAAAGCTTTGATAATATTTGGCACAGAACATACACACACATGTAATGTCATGCTCTTGCAAAAGCAATATCAAGGTACTTCCTTATATTTGTTTGCATTTCTGGCAAGGTATTTGTCCTATACGTTTGTCTTACGTGATGGTAGGAGGCAAATTTGCAGTTTGTGTATGTTGTAGACATTGAGGACTAATTACATTGCGTGAATTGGTGATATTGCACCCATTAGACGTTATCTGGGCTTTCCTCGAATGGATGCTCAAGTGATCTTTCCCACGAAAAAGCGACATAATGGTGTCCAGGTAGCTACCTAGCTTACTGCGAAAGGATTGGACAGTGTCACACGATCTGCTGGTGAATGGCAACCGAATCCACAGGGATACATATATGGTGAGACAAAAGTTAGACCGCAAATTCGCCTTGCATCGTGGTATAATCTGGGTAAGGTCTTTGTTGCCTAGGTCTCACCTGTAATTGTGCTTCACTCTTAGGGTGAACCGATTGCAATGGACATTGCCATGTATCAGATTGTGCAGCAGTCTCCAGTTATCCTTTAGTCTTCGCAGCGAAAGCAGCTCGAGATGGAGTTGCTGGCATCGCTGCCGACAGTTTATGATAGAATATTTTCCCAATACGTGCTTAGTAAATGACAGTTGAAGGCTTCCTATCGATATTCTGTCTGATTTCCTCATATTGCCTCAGATTATGCTGCGATACTCCAGCATGGGACGATTAAGGATTTTACGTAGTTCAACTGTAGCTGCGATTGTATGCATGTTATGAGAGATGTTTGCGAAGGATTATCTGACTCGTGCTATCTGGTATTCAATCTGTTCTAAGAACGTAAAGATACAAGAAAATTTGATTCTAAAGTCACGGGTAGGCCGTTGTACACAGATGCGTTCGCTGTTACATGTGCTAGATACTTCGGGGATCAAGCGACCGTGACATATGATACTTGATTATTGTGATTAAAACGTCATCAACCACTTGTCGCACTAAGTCTCAAGCGAATGAATGTACTCTTGAATGAGTGTTAGTACATTCGGAAGCTCAACTCCTTGGTACTTGTGAACAAATGTCATATCAACTAATAAATACGGCACGCGATGTTTGTTAACCGAACTGATATTATTGACACAAAAAAGGAAATTAATGTACCGAACGAACATCTTTGTTTAATCCCGCTGGTAATTGGACGCGGGGAAGAGCAATAGTCGCTTAAGGTGACTAGTTTAGCGGGACCGTTCGTGTATGATGATAGCCAACCCATTAATGTGTTGCGGACATCGAAGAAATCTACCTGAATCGGTAACCGTTTGTGAGGCACCCGATCGAATGTTTTCTGCATGTGCAAGCATAAATATGGCATACTTTGAGTCAATGGAGTCCGGTAGGTAGTTCAGACAATGCAACTACCGGAATGTGTACGAACTTTAGTCAAGGCAACCATTTTAGGACTTGTGAGTTGATGAACTTCCTCACAATTGTTTCACCAGTTTCACGAGTGATCCGGTAATATAAGTGGGTATTATTTTTTCAGTTACCGTTAGCTTTATGCGTAAATTTGCCTGTAATAGGTATAGGATTGGGATCGTTTAGTTCCAAGTCAACTACTAAACAATTAATGCCACTGTGCGCACAAAATCACTCTTTCTTCCTCTTTCCTAGAAGTGCTAAACAGGAAATCCTCAATCATTATCTCTGTTGTCAATGCGCTTACTCCAATTTTACAGCTTGAGTGCCCAGAGAGCCAGAATGTGCCGTTTTCAAGAGATTACGCCAAATTATGTATAAAACTGGTGTTTGTGTCAGGAAATAGCATGGACCTTATAGTTAGACCAATGAGGCAGCTGCCTTTCCACTTTTATACCACTGTTGTTAGTAAAATGATTATCACTAAAAAGCAAGACAAATAAAATGCACAGTGCCAGTGTGAGATTGACGTTATCGATTGCGTTGTGGCGCAGCTGGAATTGAGGCGTACTCTGACACATACGGTTAATTGGGGGCTTTTTTCAAAGCAGCCCCTAGGCCTTCCATTTCGATAGATGTTCGCTGCCAAGTGCGCGCGGATACTCCCGAGATATTCAACCAGCAGAGAACGGATCAACTGCAGTATCATTTGGCATTATATACATATATATATATATATATATATATGGGTAATTGTGCACTTCGGACTGCTTTGTCGATAGGACCACAACAAACTAAAGGCATCGTCGGATAACTATACTTACATCCGTTCTGTTTCATGTTCTCATCTTTGAAGCAATGTTGCATTTGTCTACTTGATCTGCCGTGTCTGTATATATGGACACTTTCCACAACCTCCTGAGTCTAGTCATCGATCTCAGGAAACAACTCAATGCCACAGTCTTACTTTCATTGGAACTATACTGTTCCTTGAGATAAACTCATCTAATTCCATTTGACGGCATAGGAATAGTTTTTCAAATCCACATTTATTGCAGTACACATTAAGCCCCATCTCATATAGCGACAAGTTCAAAACACGTTTCTTTACCATTTATTACAATCCATTACTCACGGATGCAAATATACAACAAGCTGCCTGTTTACTGATGAACTAGACGATGAGGAGATTGTAGTTAAATCAAATGATCTTGATGAGTGCTGGCCTAAGCCTGTCTCATTTCATCAGGATTGTAATCGAGATGATAAGCAATATGGTTCCAAAGTACCAACTACGCAGAAATTTGCCTGGACTTCTGACTGTTCCGGAGGCTTCGTTCGATCCGCAAAAATGTGAGTGACATAATTTTCTTGCACTTGGAGTCGCCTGTCCTTGCATTTTGATTCCATTTGTATGTCCATCTTTCATCCGTGAACCACTCGTGAAATACGTTTCAAGTCTGTTACCTGGGTGCAGGAAGATAGACAAGAAATAGATATGAGGAATATTATTATTATTGTGTCACATTATTGTGTCACATAAAGTACAGTTGTGGCAGCAGAGGTTACTTTGGTCTTAAGCGATGTCTGTTTCTTGTTTCTCGCTCTCTTACTATTGATAACCACTTGTTATGCACGTTTTGGTCTATTAGTGTGACAGTTGGTACCGCCCTTTATAGTCACAAATGTCTGTTCTCAAGGGCACTTGATTCAGTCCATTAGTTCACATCTAGCTACTAAGCTTGCAATCACTATAGCATTTACACCTGGAAGTGAAATTCTCCTGCGAGGAGTCGAACTCCATTGTTGACCGATGGGCCTTATCGATCGAACTTCCATGTCACTGAAGCCAGGGTAACACGTCTTCTCTGAATCACCTACAAATCCCAGTATCTCCAACTGTCAAGACCATAAGACCACAAACGGTGACGAGTGGTCCGTATACACCACTACTGCCTTGTTGGTATTCTGCCAACCGACTTGAGCCTATGGTCAGCTCATCTTTTTCATCTTTGCGTAACTTCCAAATCAGCATATCTTCGAGTTACATCGGGGAAACTTAGTGTTCGTGAATCACCATCTGTGTAGGTGCCGTGAGGCAGAATCAAGCGAAATTTCACGGTAGTTGAAGTTACTTCGGCTCGAACTAGTAAACCTATATTTGCAGCACATATTCGGTAGTGGTTAACGCTTCAGGTATGAGTGGGAACCATCGAGCACATTGGTGACGATGTCTTTGGTCTTGAGCGAAGTTGCCTCAGGAGTATAGGTGCGTCAGCCACCTGGGGATTAGTCGTTAACTATCGCTTACCCTTATCAGATTGCTCTGTGTTAGTGAGACACTCTGTTCATGCCAGTCAGTCGAGGTAACGTCAAACGCACACAACAGTTTTGTGTGGGGTAGTTATCGATGAAGTTATCTCTTTCGCCATAAGTATTGCATTACCCATTGTGAGATGACGCGCTGAGCGTAGCGTTGTTTATTTTGGCTCTAGTCGGGCGGTCTCTCGAAATCATAACTGCTGGAATTGTAATTTCTCCTGCAAGATCACACCGAGGATTTACCACTGGTGTCAACATTGGTAGGGCTAGTTACAGCCTTCCTATAATTCCATGGGCCAGGAGTTTATGTGGGATCACAGGCAAATCCTGTCCACCGATAAACTCACTGACAACATTCTTACTAATGTGCAGAGCGCAAGTGCTGAAGTCGTTTAATATTGTGGTCAAGGAATAGGATGGAGTTTACTAAGGACTAGTGTAAATAAACGGAGCCAGTTCTGCCCTGTTTCTGATAGGCCATAGTGGTCAGATTTCATAATCTGTCCTAAGTAACAGTAGGATTGTATGAATGAAATCATTTCATTGGGGTGTTCAAATGTTGGCGACCCTGTTACTCTGTTACACAATTTTGTTTCCGGACACATCTGTCATCGTTAACTTCATGGTCCACACTTTCGACGATCACAATGGTCGTTCGATGACACGCACGGGAACAGATGATGAAAATCGGCGACTGCATGTATTAGAAGACAACCTTACTTAAACCGGAGCTGCCTTGGATGTGAGTCCTCGGACAGCACCTGGTCAAGCAGCATACTAATGGTCTCATCCTTCCTCTTATGTCCCGTGTACACAGTTTGATTATTCATGACCAATATTCGTCAGACCCGAGTGTTCAAATATTTGTTAGTGCCATAGCTAGTCTATCCAACGGTGTCAGACAATTGGTCTTTAGCATGAGTACTCAGATGCGATTCATGTGGTAGATGGAATTATCACGGTACTTCTAAGGGGTTCCCTCCTCACCAGCGATCTCTTAGGACTCATGTGTCCACTTCTGTGAAATTCTCTACCACCGCTCCATTTACTCATTTCCCCCTATCTCTTGGTATGCGTCAGGGTGCAGCACTTGGGATACACCAATTACTGGTTTCTGTAAACGATCTCACGACAGTTATCGTTTCAAGCCCACGACCACAAGTGGCTTGCACCATCACCTAGCAGCTTCTGACACCGGGTCACGGAGACAGCAGTGAACCTCTTTGCATGCCCTTCTAATGGGACAGACACAATAACGCTATAAATGCATTTTCCTCACAAATTAAGTGTTTAGAACTTGCGGTACGATAACCACACCGTTTTCGGTTGTCCTCTTATTCTAATGTACCACTGGAGTTGGGTTACATGCCAACGCAGCTGGGATAAAATTGAGAAACTATTCACGATTCCCGTATAGGTACATGCGGCTTAAGAATGTTACGTATGACTTGGAAAACAGGTACCACAAAGCAGGCAAATGCCCCTGTGCGCTGTATTAAGTAATAAGGGTTCAAGCTAAACCATTAAATATGACGCGCCTCGTCCGTCACCCAAACTCCGGGTAACTCCGGTCACGTTATGATGTAGAGGCAGTTCTCTTGTCAGTCACTCGCCTCTGTAGCACCACATACACTGTACGCATTCTTCCAGATGTTCTTTGGAGCGAACGCTAGAAACGCAAAAAAAGATCCGGACGACTTCCGTTAACAACAAGACGCAAAATCTATCCTTGTTCACGAGGTCCCAGAGCTCCAGACATTTAAACGAGCTAGATACCAAGCGCATGACTAGGATGGATGGCGTTTCCTTCGCGAAGTGTTTTCACTCGAAAACCTCGCTAATTCGACATCAAGGTTACCGCTATCACCTAACTACAAAGGGTGTGGTCCCCGAGTGATGAAAGTATCATTGCACTCTGAACTGATGGCAAAACATGTGAACAAAAAGTGGCACAAAAACGTAAAAAACTGCTATCCGAAATACGTATAAAGGCGATAGGCACCGGGCCACAAATAGATAAGGTAACACTGTGCAGGCAATTTACTAATACAAATCCGTCACCATGTAGCTCAGAACGGAAACAATACCAAAGCACGACGGCAGCTGAAGGAGCACAGGATCGTCAACCTCTTACTGGCGCTGAGAACCCATGCAACAACCTGAACTGGCCCTAGGGCCTGCGTCATTGGTCCTAGGGTCGGCATAGACCCTCACCGGAAATCAGTATTCACAAACGCTTCTAATCACTGATGCCTTCACGTGATTGTATACCCATGCACAGGGTCCTCTCAGTAAGCTAACCGAACCTCTTATTCCTCAGGTCTCCACGCCTTGGGACCTAGTTATGGTCACCTCAATATAGCTGGACATGGAACTCACTGATGTAGTGATTGCTCTACCCGGCATGACTTCCATACGAAACGATTGACCTAGCAGAGGAGGCGAAGTGCTCCTGTATTATCGATCCGACCTGCATGTTGATATCATTGAGTATACAGAAACTCATGTCGTCGATTCTCTTGGTGTCATATTCACCTAAGACGTGGTGATGTGTATTTACTAGAAATAGTTTACCGCCCTCTAAGGTCAACCTTGGAAATGGATCGATGCCTAGCTTCTGCGATGAAGCGACTTCTGGCACAACCACGCAGTCACATCCTTCAGGTGGGGAAATTCAATCTGCACGCAATCGAAGTTCCAGCATCGCACAGCGAACAATTCAAGGCTGACTTGCAAGAGGTGATTGCCGATGTACCTCTGTACAACCATGTCACCTCTCCCACGCGATTCCGAACGGGTGACACACCCTCTGTTTTGGACCTTGTGCTCACCAACGAGGAACTAATGGTCGACACCGTGACCATAGATGCACCACTTGGCCGTAGCGATCACGCGATGTTGCTCTTTCGTTACATCTGTTACTCAGAGTACATCAGTGAGAACAACGTGGAAACCTATGTCGTTACACATTACGATATCCTGTCCAACCTCGTTCAAGAAACCGACTGGTCCTTCCTGGCCGAGCAGCCGCCCGATGTCGCTTGGATGGTGTTTGTCACCCAATTCACCGAGCTAGTGGCAAATGCATCAGAAAATAAGGACTTTCTCCCGGATCAAGTGAATTCCTTCCAGAGTAGCCGTACTAGAATATGTATGGCCTTAAGGGATTCAGCCTGGCGCGCTTACAAAGTCTGTCCAAGTAACCTGACCTGGGGTGCTTACACAACACAATGAAACCACTGAGTCAAGCTGATCCACGAAGCGTAACCCCAGCACCAGCAGAACTTAGCGGCGAAATTCAGTACAAATCCCAAGTTGCTGTACAGATAAGTCAACAAGCTCCGCAGAGTGCAACGCGGGAGTCCTGTTTTACGTGCCACAGACAGTCTGGTGCAAACTAAACAAGATGCGGCAAACGTGTTTCGCCAACAATTCATCCATACATTCCAGAGTAAATAACCATTTTACCAGCTTTTGACACAACTCCCGTCGCCACCAGGGTTAAATCATATAATGTTCACAGCATCCAATTTGATGAAAAGGCTAATGTCATTGCGCGTGCACAACTCTCTTGGTGTAAATGTCCTCAAAGCGACGACAATGAAGCCAGCGGACATGAACTTGCCGAACTATTAGCTCGGTTATTTAACCTTGTCTTGATGAAATGCAGGTTCCCACGATGTGGAAACATAAACTAGTCACTTCTATTTACAATGGTGGGAATGGTGCGGAGCCCCAGAACTACCGTCCAATCACTCTCCCCTCAATGTTATCCAGAGTAATGGAAAGTATACTCGCAGGGCCTCTCATGGTCTGCCTTGAGATCAACAACATCCTAGTGTAATAGCATCAAGGATTCCCCGAAATTGATCCTGTACTACAAACTTACTTCTAGCCCGAGCAAGCTGGACAGAGTGCTGATGCCAGAGCGTGAGTTGACGTTGTTTAGTTGGACTTCATGAAAGCGTTCCATCGTTTGGACCACAGCGTTCTCATGCATAAGCTTCGGAGCTATGAAATCAGTGCCACTGTGCGAGGTTGTATCGGCAACTTCCTCACACAACGTCAGCTGAATGTAAGACTTCGCAGCTCAGTTTCCGATCCAATTGACGTTCAGTGTGGCGTGCGCCAAGGATCGGTACTGG